TGGAGAATGGTTATGAAATAAGAATAGTGGGATTAATCAGCTGTCAAGGCGCCACATCTTAGTGCAGGAGGTTGTTTTTGGTTCTAACTTCTACATAGTTATTACATTTTCCATGCACATTCTTATGTACAAGAACACACTATACTAAAAGTGCTTCCTGAGCACACAAAATATGTCCAAAACAAGCGGTTCCAAATTTAATGTTTCTTTACATTTAATAGATGCAATCTGAAAGCAATCAACTGGCAAAGGATGTGCAATACATCAAACTGCGATGCAGCATAAGTGTGCAATCCCCCCCCCCATCAGACAAAAATGGAGGCATTATAAAACTGTTTTTCATTCACATCAATAAATTAAGACTACTAACATCAAAACAGCAAGCTATTCATCTAATATATATATATATATATATATATATATATATATATATATATATATATGAGATCTACAGTAACAAGCATACAAAAACAAGTCGCAGAGATTCAAATTCTTACTTGTAAAAGAAAAGAAGTTAATATAACTTATATATTATTTGTGCTATGGTTCCCTATCATATGCAGTTCTACTTTGCCAACATGGGAATGAAAGCAATTCTTATAGAGAAATGGTAATTTATACATTTTGATATGAGTATCCTGTCCATTAAAATATACTGTTTCTAATAATTAAAAATGAAGTATGCAAGGTGGACATGGCAAAGAACATAGCATTTAGATCAGATCAGGATCGTGCCTTCCCAAAGCTGGATAGGATCATATTGAGGGCGGTGTTTACAGTCAGCTTAGAGTCCCTCTCTGTTTCTCCACGAGATGGGTTGACCTCCATCATATCCACTGCAGAAAGTAAGCCTAAACCAGGAAAATATTTGGTTTGTTAAAATGTGTTAAGAAAATCATACCAAATCACCACACAAATATTAGATTTGCTGCTTTGTGAAACTTTTTTTTAAATCCTGCTGTAAAACCATTTGACAAATCGTTAAGGAAATGGATCTACTACCCACACTAAACTGCTAGAATCCAGTTCTTTCCTGCAAGGTGTGTAAGAGGAGGTTTGAGACCACCTACTGAAATTTACATTTCGATTTGATTTTCTAAATGAAAAGAAGTTAACACAACCGTGGCAGGGGACACACAAATGTGACTGCCAACTTTTACACATTTACTGGTTACTGGTTGAATTTTGCAAAATGTGAAAAAAAAAACCCATTCAATTCAATGGCTACAATACAAATCTTCTAGTGGTTTTTAAACAGCTCAAAACATAAAATGACTCAGTAGGCCTTAATTTAATTAGGGTAAAACCATCTTAAAGCTGAAATTTAGCTTATTTTTTTCAATTTTTTTTTAATAACTTTAGTCGCATTACTTACCTGGAATGAAGTAAGTCTCACATTGTGCAGGCAGCTGGATTCTGTAGAATGCTTCAAGGATAAGTTCACCTTTTAACAAAAAAAAATAAATGCACATTTTTTTGCAGGTAAAAAAATGTGCATTTACTATTTTTTGTTTGAGATTCTGGAAAGCATTATGGGCAAGCAGATACACATTTACAGGAAGAATCAATGAACTACCCCAGTGCTCAATAGTGCATGGTAGTTCATTGAGAACTACAAGCTGACAGCCGGAAAGACTGTCGGAACTTGCAGTTTTCCCATGTGATGTGGGCGTAGCTCTGCACTGCCATGTTTTATTTAAATTGTGACAGCTAGTGTGGGGAGAAGATCCCCCACTAGCTGTCACAACTGGGACTCGGGCATATCCTTACGTAACATGTTCCACTGAAAACGTGTTACAACAAGTGAACTTAATCCTTTCAATGCAAGGGTGCCCTGTCCTCTTCCTATTCCTGCATTTCCAGTAATGAGAAAGTTATCTTCCATCTAAGGCCTGAGCAGCTGTGAAGAAGTTGTGCTAACCCCCACAGCCCCCCACCTCTGTGCCAAACACACTTTTTTGAAAAAGTCATTTTTGTTGCATTCACTTCCAGCAACAGGATCTCTGAATGTGGGAGAGTCTAATGAGTCGCAAGATCCTCTCCCTCTTTCACAAATCGTGTTACAGGCACTGACAGTAATGGGAGAACTTTACTTAATGTGGGAGCAGGAGAGAGTCCCTGGTATAACTTTTAACAGCAGCCTAGCCTGGACCCTGAAGCTATGAACCATTGCAAAGCTTTAAGACCAGGAGAGAATGGGGCATCCCTGAACAGCAGATTATTCCAGGATTCAGTGCCTGCAAACAATGGGACACTTCATTACAGGTAACGATTGTCACTAAGGCTGCTGATAAATGTTTTTTTTTTTTTTTTTCCTCGGTCAGCCAGCAGTGCTGGTCAAAAAGAAACAGATTCCCCCTTCCACCCAAGCAAGGTAGACGGCGGAATCCTCCCCAATCTGCCATTGTATAAAAGCCATTGGCTGCCAGCACTGATCAGCAGCTGATTATTCGTGAGACTGGCTTCTGTAGAGCAGACAGCTGTACACACGGACAGAAAGTTAGCAGGTTCCTGCTGAACCAACCCATTTTGGCCTGTGTATACAAGGCTTTAGAGGTCTTGTCCCTCTGTGACTGGACAGTGAAGCAGGATGATGAGCTCATCTCCCAGTAACTGTGCTCTATGCTATTAGCATGATCCTTGTTAGCACATGAATGAAGGTACTGCTTGCATTTAAAATATTAACTGTGCCTATCTGCCTGAAGTTCAGCTTTAAAAATAACCTGTGAGGTGTTCACACTAACAATGGTGTTAAAACCTGTGGTCATTTGGAGCATGTTTGTTAATCCTGAATAAGCCCCATATACCCTATAGAGGAGGTCTGTGCTGTAAATAGGAGTTCCAGAAAACTTGCAGCAACGCCCTTCCCTTATTTTTGAGCAGTCTCAATGGGTAATAGGGTTGTGAATATGAACATGAATGGAGGTGGCTCAGTTGTGGGAGGATGTTTGGAAACTATTTAAAAACAAGACCTGAAGACTTCTGGCTAGATTGCAAATCTTCATAATGTAATGTGCCCCTGGATCCAGACTGTTGGGGGAATAGGAAATTACCTGTATTGTAAATCTGCTCTGTGATGTACATGCCTTCTCTGTAGGTGAGACCTCCAGGAACAGGAGTACCAGTAGCAGGCGCAACGCTGGGATCCAAGCCATCTATATCAAAGCTTAAGTGGATGGGCCTTTCTTTCCTGAAGATAATGCAGATAATAAAATGTAAAAATTGCTAACAGAACAAATATTAATACAGAATCTGTCTTTCTTCTATGTTCCTTAGAGCACATGTCAAAAGCATTATGGAAGCTGCCATTGCTGACCTTACTTTAAGTGAATGCCAGTTCCTTGGGTCGTACTAACGGGTTAACTTCAATGCTGCCTGAGTAACTGAGCTACAAACAGGAAAGTGATAAGGGAGTTCTGACATTTTCTGATGTCATTTACAGAATGCTGGCTCCAGGTCTGTGAATTGCAAGTATTAAACCAGGTATCCATCATATTTGGGATAAGGTCAGCTATGGCAGCTCCTATACTTTTCTAATGACATCTGTACTTACACCAACACTACATCAGCTGAACATATGTACGTAATCCACATATTCCTACAGAGGAAATCTTCCTCATTATGATCTGTTCAAATCAGTAATAATACGAAACTCCAGTTCTCTAACAGTACTAATGACACTTCTTTTCCACCTCTTGTTGAATGTGAAGCACGCAAAGATTACAAGATGTGCGCGTACTCAGGGCCTTAACAGCTAAAGCAATTGCTATCAGGTCAAAAGACTACAAAAATTAAAAGACTTTAGAAATGCTATAATTACGCTCATTGTGTATCCTGCTGCATCTGCTTGGTTTAAAAACCAATTATCTACAGTAGATCATGTATAATTAAAGGTTATAACCCTAAAGTGGGCATAAAGTGACATTTTTGCTATATTTGCTGTTTGCACTAATACTCTAATGTCCACACTAACGTCAATGGCTACAGTGATGACATATACAATACCATGCTATTGTGTAAACAAATGTATGTCTAATCTGGATGAACATGTTGCAATTGACCATGACACTAAAGAAAAATGTGCTACTGTTAAGGTTACGTACTTTTTTTTTTTTTTTTTTTTTTTCCAATGCAAAATGTAGTAGTCTCACCTTATTTCTCATTTTCATCTGTTTTTTACAAGACATGATAAATCTTTACTTGAGTCATAATGATAGCATTATATTGAATTAAATGACAATCCTGGTACATCTGACATTTATTTAAAACAGCAAGGGCTGGATCACATGGGAAACTTTTGATTGTGTCATAATCTGGAATAGATCACATCACCAATCAAATGTACTGCCCATTCTACTCCGTAGTCTATATTGTCCTTATAGTGCTGCAGGTGATGACAGCTGTGGGCCTCCTGCAGCAAGACGTGCATTTTGTTTCATTATGAATCAGTTTTCAGGTGAAAATTACATTTTTGGAGATTCCGATGTACTGTATATGAATCTCTAAATGGACATAGCATCAAATGCCAAAAAAAGTTACAACGAAATTAACAAATGCATTTGTTTCACTTGGATGAGGTCACATAATGCGATAGTAGTTGAGGCCCATGGGGAAATGAGTTCAATTTTCAAATCTGTTCGATAATTCAGATTTGGATAATGAATTTCATTCTATTTGTTAATTTGGATGCACATGACCCCAGTCGATATTGTCCAAGCAGCTCAGGCCATGTCTTATGGTTGGTTGGACTAGCATCCAAAAATATCAAATCCTTCTGATTTGATAATATATTGAATATATAGCAGTATTCCGGAACAACTGCAGAATTTTTCTAAACCACCTGGACCAACAAATATACAAAACAAATGCTTACACAAATAACCTTTTTAGATGTTCCCTATAGGATAGTATATCTATGAAATGTTAGATAGTAGTCTGATCTTTTAAAACAAAATGGTGTTAGCAAGGTTGGGTTATCAAATGTATCATGATACAGTGGTTCAGAAGTCACATGTGACCTTTAGCTACCCTTTGCTATTATTTGAGGTGGATTTTCAGCATTTATTCAATTCGTGTCTTGTTGTGCCTCTTTTGCATTGCAAGGTTTCCATGTGCACAATGCAAATACAATTGTGTGCAATTTATATAATTTTATATAATTTATACATACTCTCCCACTAGATATTCCAGAGTTTCTTCCATAACTTTTTTTATTGTGAGTCTGTCCACGTCTGACATTGAATAGCTCTTAATCCCAAGAGTCTTCAGAAGATAACTGCAAAGGAAATAGCATTTCATAAAAGTGTATTTATAAATATAATGTGTATATACAAATGAAATGGCAATATATTGTCTGGGGACTTTCCTTGTCTGGTGCTCCTATCCCTTCTGAATTTCCACAAATAATAAATGACACATTATAACTCAATCTCAGCAGAAAAATGAGGCAGTGTATTGAAAAACATCTGCAGCAGTGAATCCCACTGAGGCCAATCAGAATTGTGTTTGAGCTAGAGTGAAATGATCCAGGATCTGATTGCGTGCACCCATGCTCTATGTTCATTCTATATTAATCTCTTCTTGACAGCACTTTTGCAAAATTCAGTATTTTGTGTAGAAAAGTATTTAAATATTTTGTGCCTACATGGCTTTGTATTCTAAATAGGTACTCTTGGCATCATCCAAATGTTCACAAGCAGATAATACAGGTTAAATTGTGAGTTCAACCTATTTAGAGCAAGCCATTGCTTCCATTATATATATATCTGTGATATGGCAGGATGGCATGTTATTCACTAAATAAGGAACCATATAGGGAATTAACAAAGTACTGTATGCCAAATTACGTGAACTCGGCATGGCCCTGGTGGTCTTGAGTACATCAAACAACAAGAAGTTAAGGCATAGACACCTTGAACTAAAGCATCCACCATATTAGGATCTCCATGCCCTGTACACAGTAAATTGAAGTCCAAGTTAAAAAATAAATTATTAATATATTATCATGTCAAAAAGTTTACAAATTACACACACAGTACAAAAAGCCTTAAGCCGGCCATAGATGATTCAAACCATGTATGGGCAGTCTAAATGTACCCAGGTTGATCGATCAATCAGCTTGGGTACAACCAACCTACCGGATTTTACATGTGATTATTGTTAGCAGCTATGGGATTCCCCCATCAAAACTGAGTTTGTTGATGGGACAATCAGGTGATTTTCTTTCCTGCAACCACCGGCTTTAACACCCTTCACCAAACCCACGTTGTAAAAGGTTTTCACTTCACGCAAGTTCGGACGACACACAGCTACTAAGTTTAGATCACATACCCCTAAATATTAGGTACCATCTTAAATTGAAAGGATGTTACTCCTTTATAGGGTCCATGCACACTGGCTTTAACCCCTTCACACCGGCCGCACGGAAATGTGCGGCCTCCCGGCGTCTGGGCCTAGACGCCAAGTGGCCGCACATTTGTGTTCATGTAACAAAAAACATATGCGCTGAGAGCGCGCGCCCTGCGCGCTCCCAGCACACATGAGGTGCTCACGGAAAGGTACCGGTCCGCTCTTTTGATCGGGACCTTTCCCGATCATGTGACCGGCCATGACGTGATGTCACGGCAGCCACATGATACTAAGCCCCGCCCACCTCCCGGCGCAGGAACTCCTCTTCATGCCGGGACGATCCAGTGTGAAGGGTTTAAAGAAATGGCAATGCTCTGTGCAGAAAAAAATTATAAAAAAATAACTTTGGGTGTTTTTTTTTTTTTTGTTATAGCATTTAGCAGTGTTTAGGAGCATTTGCTGATTTTTTTTTTTTCCTCCAGAAAAACACTCCCAAAATGCAAATCAGAAGGGTTTTTTCCTGCCACTAAACGCTGAGCTTAAAGCTTGTCTCTAAATGTCCTAATGTGCATGGACACATAGGATAACATTAGTTGCTTCTGCAGGAAAAATGCTAAACTCCTCTAGAAGCAGCATTTTTTTAAGCCAGTGTGCCCTTAAATCACTTAGGGTTGTACTGTATATAATGGATTTAAACATGTTATGTATGACAAGTATATCCTGTTGCATATACAGTGAATGCTACTCAACATAGAGATTCTGAATGGACTTACTGCTCTCCAGGGTCTACATCTCTCAGTCCAATGTAAACTATGTCTTTGGCAGATATACTTGGCTTCACCCAAGAGAATCCTGGAATGTCTGGCACCTAATAAACAAAATGAATAAGCAGCTTTACTAAAACTAAACTTTCAGGCATATTCATTCAGATAGTATGCAAGGTAAATGATGATGGGCAAAATGCAGAAACTCATCTAAACCAATAAGATACTATTTTTTACCAGTTTGGAGCAGTCAAGACTTGTATTTGCCTTGGGTAACTTGACTCTGAATCATTAGCTTTGGCTAATTACACACAATCATATATATCTATTTTTAAGAGCTGTGTGTAGGTATGAGTATTGACTGCACCATTTTCCATTTTCAATAATTTTTTTGATATGTTAAAGAACAGAATAAAGAAATATAAGACAGTGTATGAGCATATATAATCAGAGATTAGAATAAAAATAGTTAAAGAGGTTGTAAACCCTTACATATACCCAGTGACGTGACTGGCCTCAGGTGATACACAGAGATGAAACAAACTCATACATAAGTTGTACCTGTTTATCTTAAGCAATCTTTCCCCTACATCCATTCAAAGTCTAGAATTTGCACAGGATCTCTCAGCTCTGCAAAGCAGGGGGTAGAGAGCTGAAGTTACGCTCAGTGAGGACAGCTCTAAGAGCTGATTGGAGGGAAGGGATACACACTCCTTCACACAGCTCACAGAAACAGAACTGAGGCTGTCAATCTTCTGGAGATTCCTCCCCCATCACTATTTTTCTCTTGTTGTGAGGAAAACGTGTCAGAATGGACTCTGATAGCAAAGGAATGGGGCAGCAGACAGAAATGACACTTAGTGCTCTGGATTGAGACAAGTACACACTATAGATGGATATGCTTTGTTCATATTTCAGGTCTGAGGATACAATCACTTTAAATATAGTAAAGTAAATTATAGTTACAATTACATTTATACTGTATATTCAAATCATCAAAGGTCTATCATGAATAGTGTAACTGATCTCAGCAAGGTGTTTTTGTCATCTCTATTCCGTTATTGAAGGCTTCCCTAATTTAGAAAGGCAGATGAAATTTGTGGAAACATAACAGAACACAACAATAAGATAACTGTTTTGGGGGGTTTAAGGTGGCAATGTTAAACATACCTTAAAGAAAACAAGGAACAGTACAGTACATAGAATTGACTGTGCCACGGCAAAGGACAATAAGACAACACACTTGGTTGAAGTCTTCAGCAAAGGTAAATTACAGAACATTTGTTATGACACACTTAAATGTGAGAGCAAGATAACAAATGTATTACAGAACACACAGCTCATAACCTTTCCATTGTCATTGAATACTAAAAAGTATCAGTGAAGATAGGGTATTTTTCCAAGGTGGTGCTCAGGGAACATCAACTGACTCAGATGAGAAGGGATACAAGTTACCATGAGTAGTTGGGGATAGTTTGAGTGGTCCCAGGGTGTTCCATACCTGGGTGGAAGGAACAGCGGCTGAGCAGGTGCCTAGCTCAGAAAAAGTAGGGTGAAGAGTCGGGAAAGATGGTATGGAAAGTCAAAGTAGGGGAAAGTGACAAATCTGTTTTTAGAGGTGGGCACTTTACTTGCACATCATTTACTTTATTTTCATTATGGTTGTATTCTTAAAATTACTGACATTTTCCTGTAATTAACAAAAAGTTTGCTGTGCCACAGTTTATTGTCTGTTTATGTGCACTTGGACACATTGCAAATAATTAGAAGACTAATGCAAAATGTGAGACCCATATGAAAAGGACCTCAATGGAAAATTGTTTTCCCATAGCAACCAATTAGCTATCACCTTTTCACTGTTCAGGTGTTCATCTATATATATATATATATATATATATTTCATATAAAATAGCTTGATGGTTGTTTTCTAAGAAGAGACCACTTGTGATAGAAATAACTGGTAGAAATAACAGTTCGACAATTAATACGCAAGTGATTGCAAAGAAAACAAGCAACGTGTACTGGAAGCCTTGATTTACCTCGCTTTGTAGCTCTTTGATTAGGAAAGAGACAGGTTGTCCATGTAGATTGCCACTGGGTGATGTTGATGGAGTGTTGATATCTGCATGGGCATCCACCCAAACAACACACAGATCAGGGTGAACCTTAGCATGACCTGTGATGGTCCCAACTGCCAAGCTGTATCAGCACAAACAAAAAATAAAGGTAAACAAAAAGAATGTCACAACATCTGGGGACATCTAGTTCATAGGCCATTATAATCCTTCTCTTGGAACATTGTGTTATAATTTAAATGTGTCATTAGAACGCAGTATGGGGCAAACCAAATTAAATTTCTCTCCAAGTATAACTAAATGCAAAACTTTTTTTTGTTATAGTTTTGGATAGAGTGGAGACAGATTAGAACACCTGTCAGGTCTTTATTGCTGTTTGTTCCCCTATCAGGAAGATTCGCCCTCTTTATTTGTCCTGTTTACCATTATCATCAAAAGCTAACGTAGAAGAAAATCCCAAATTTAGGGTTGTCCCCAGAACAGGAATAGGGGTGATATCTTCTAATGGGGCACTAGTTTTGGTGACACCCCAGGTTTCCCTCACTTTAGAGGGATTTTCTCTCACTTCCTGTTTTGGCTATGAGATAGGAAGTGAAGGGAAATCTCCCCAATGCGACACAGATGACAAAAGTGAATGTTACAGGGGTTATGGCCCTCCCTTACTCTATCCAAAATGAAAAAAAGTTTTGTGTTTAGTTCTACTTTATTTGCTATTTCTGTAGAGGTCAGGGTCTGGGGAACTCTTCAGAATTTGCAAATGAGGTTTGTTTTATATACAGTCAGGTCCATAAATATTGGGACATCGACACAATTCTAACATTTTTGGCTCTATACACCACCACAATGGATTTGAAATGAAACAAACAAGATGTGCTTTAACTGCAGACTGTCCGCTTTAATTTGAGGGTATTTACAATCCAAATCAGGTGAACGGTGTAGGAATTACAACAGTTTGCATATGTGCCTCCCACTTGTTAAGGTACCAAAAGTAATAGGACAATTGGCTTCTCAGCTGTTCCATGGCCAGGTGTGTGTTATTCCCTCATTATCCCAATTACAATGAGCAGATAAAAGGTCCAGAGTTCATTTCAAGTGTGCTGTTTGCATTTTGAATCTGTTGCTGTCAACTCTCAAGATGAGATCCAAAGAGCTGTCACTATCAGTGAAGCAAGCGATCATTAGGCTGAAAAAACAAAACAAACCCATCAGAGAGATAGCAGAAACATTAGGCGTGGCCAAAACAACTGTTTGGAACATTCTTAAAAAGAAGGAACGCACTGGTGAGCTCAGCAACACCAAAAGACCCAGAAGACCATGGAAAATAACTGTGGTGGATCACCGAAGAATTCTTTCCCTGGTGAAGAAAACACCATTCACAACAGTTGGCCAGATCAAGAACACTCTCCAGGAGGTAGGTGTATGTGTGTCAAAGTCAACAATCAAGAGAAGACTTCACCAGAGTGAATACAGAGGGTTCACCACAAGATGTAAACCATTGGTGAGCCTCAAAAACAGGAAGGCCAGAATAGAGTTTGCCAAACGACATCTAAAAAAGCCTTCACAGTTCTGGAACAACATCCTATGGACAGATGAGACCAACATCAACTTGTACCAGAGTGATGGGAAGAGAAGAGTATGGAGAAGGAAAGTAACTGCTCATGATCCTAAGCATACCACCTCATCAGTGAAGCATGGTGGTGGTAGTGTCATGGCGTGGGCATGTATGGCTGCCAATGGAACTGGTTCTCTTGTATTTATTGATGATGTGACTGCTGACAACAGCAGCAGGATGAATTCTGAAGTGTTTCAGGCAATTTTATCTACTCATATTCAGCCAAATGCTTCACAACTCATTGGACGCCGCTTCACAGTGCAGATGGACAATGACCCAAAGCATACTGCAAAAGCAACCAAAGAGTTTTTTAAGGGAAAGAAGTGGAATGTTATGCAATGGCCAAGTCAATCACCTGACCTAAATCCGATTGAGCATGCATTTCACTTGCTGAAGACAAAACTGAAGGGAAAATGCCCCAAGAACAAGCAGGAACTGAAGACGGTTGCAGTAGAGGCCTGGCAGAGCATCACCAGGGATGAAACCCAGCGTCTGGTGATGTCTAGCGTTCCAGACTTCAGGCTGTAATTGACTGCAAAGGATTTGCAACCAAGTATTAAAAAGTGAAAGTTTGATTTATGATTATTATTCTGTCCCATTATTTTTGGCCCCTTAACAAGTGGGAGGCACATATGCAAACTGTTGTAATTCCTACACCGTTCACCTGATTTGGATGTAAATACCCTCAAATTAAAGCTGACAGTCTGCAGTTAAAGCACATCTTGTTCATTTCATTTCAAATCCATTGTGGTGGTGTATAGAGCCAAAAATGTTAGAATTGTGTCGATGTCCCAATATTTATGGACCTGACTGTATATATATATATATATATATATATATATATATATATATATATATATATATATATATAATAAAACAAGGTGCTTTTCTAGTGCTTCCCCCCCCCCCAAAGTACACCACCCGTGATGATGATTCGTGGCCTGGTAGGAGTCCGAGGGGGGGCCTCATCCGCCCTCCTTTCCTTGTCAGCTGAACTGCATGCGCACAGAAAGATCTGGTATAGATTTTGTTGGGTGACTTCAAACCATTTTCTTAAACTTGTTGGCATTGGTCCTCTGTAAAATTCATGGTAGACGCAAAAGGGCCTGGTACAGATTGTGGGGGGTGGGCCTGCACGCCATTTTTTTTTTTAATGTCTGCTCTCTTTGGGGAAGCCCAGGCTAACAGCAGAAATTAGTCACTCATTGTTAGGATGCTGGCAGGTGCCTGCTTCTTAACAAACAGCTATTCATTTCATACATTTGCTAGATAGTGTGTGACTAGACCAAGATTTATTTAACAAATGTATATTTTTTTTTATATTGAATTGACTTTTAGATCAGTTTATGTTCCATTTCCTATTTATGCAATAAGTACTGTCTAAACTGATTTGCATCAAGTGAATCAGGTGATCTGAATATCGCATACGATATGCCAGTAAATTGGGCCAAGATTTTGTTTTAAAAAATATAATCACCTGTGATCTCCACCAAGGGTTAAGCAAATTTTTCCATCCCTCTTAACATCTGCAACAGCATTAGCAACTTTCTCTGTAGCTTGCCCAACCGTGCGAGGATTCTTCACATTCTGAAAGGGTTCATCATTCTGCACCTCCGGAAAATGCAGATCACCGTAATCCCTCACATCATATTCTGCAAAACAAAGAGTAAAGGGCAATAGTAACACATAGTAACATAACATACACTATATTAATACAGGATTTTATGCAAAACTAGAATATTATGAAGTATTATTACTAGACTATGAAATGTTGTTTTGTCTACACTTGGTATTTCTTTGTTTGAAAAACAAGCTCCAGAATGCTAGAATATTGAAATTTAAAGACAACATCAATTTATTGGAGTTGGTCATTATACAGTAAGTTCCTTCCACCCTTCTAAACTGGAATTCCGGCTATACACTTAACTCCTAACACCTATGTTAGCTAACCTGTGTAGGAAAGGTGCATATACTTACCTATTTTCAGGCTGCTCTGATCTGGTCAGGTGTTCTGGCTCCCCTTTATTAGCTAGTGCAGATGCAGGGCAGAGGAGGGAGTGCTGACAATGGATGGACAATTGAAGCCTCTGGGTGACGTTACTGCTCTAGGCTTTTCTAGCCTTTGTCAGAGCGCTTTCTCCTCTCCCCGCAGCTGCTGCTGGCTGACACGGGGCATTATGTGACCGAACTAGAGTGGCCCAAAATAGGTAATTATATGCATCTTTCTTACACAGGTTAGGTAATAGCATAGGTGTTAGGATGGGGGATGGGACAGTTTAAGGCTAGTTAGGTGTATAGCCAGGATTCTACTTTAAGTGGCAGCCCCCTACCTTTAGCTTATACATTTATACCTTTTTACCTTTTGTATAGTTACCTTTAGTCCTGCCCCTCCCCCCAAGTTCTTCACTGTGCCGCCAGCCTTTGCAAAAAGAAAGGTACCTGCCAAACCCAGGTCCTATTGTGCATGCATGCCACTCATACTCTTCTGGTTGACTAGGATCCTCTAGGGGTATGAACCAGCCATAGGAAAGCTGGCAATAAAATTACTAACGGTTTTTACCGTTTCTTTCTGCAACATATTTTTTTCCCTCTAATGCTGCCTTTCTACTTACCCAATTGCCAGCAAAGCAGACTGCCAGCCACTAAGTCATCCTGCATATTGTTTTGAGGTAATAAATGTTATAGGAATCCAGATTCTCCTGTGGAAGTCCTGTTAGTGCCCTCATAATTAGATTTGGTATGCTTATTCACAAGTAGTGAGCACCCGGGAATATACCCATGCACCTTTGTATGTGTGTCTGTGTGTGTTTAATCTTCCGATCCTTAATTGCTATGTGTTTCTGAGGTCACAGATACTGTTCCTACAATTTTGTAAGCAAAGAGGTCCATTTATTTCAGACATATTAGCTCAGACTAGTAACTAAACAACACAGTACTCAGACATCTTCATGGAAGTAGCCATAAATGATTAGTAGACCCTTTAGCCCCAAGCAGGTGTCTGACATTTTGGACTGGTTGGATTGTAATCCTAGTGTAACTGAAAAAGCGTACAAAGATCCTTGTTCCAAGATGGGATTTTACAGCCCTCTAATCAATTCTGGTGGTCTGCAATGAGGTTGAAAGATTAGCCATAGTGTAAGAAAGACAACCACCACTTACCATCAGGACTACACAATGGAACAAATGGAGGAATTCTTTTCATCCCAAGGGGGATGGAGAGGCTAATTACAGTTATTTACATCTTAGTCATGTTCTGTCCATTAGTTTGCCTATGGGTGTACAGTATCAGTCTTCATTATCCAGTTGCAGTCTAGGTTTTGCAAGAGGAATTCAATCTACTGGATTAACTTCTGCATCTAGGCAAAGTAAGGCTGGAAGGGGAGCATCAGGTGAATCACAAAGTTTTCCTTTTGATGAAACTTAGAGTAAGATTTACTAAAATGGAAAGTGACCTAAGCTGAACATCTGGTCAGCACAAATATTAAAATTATGTATGAACGAAGCTCTCTTTGTTAAAACTCCTCTGCATATCACTGGATGTTTGATGTTCAAACTCTTTAACTTAAAGGAGAAGTACAGTCAAAGCTCTTTTGGCTGTACTTCTGTGGATCACGGTAGTGCAGTACGTTCTGCACTCCTATGACCCGTTTTCAGTTGACAGAGGGCTGAAGCCCACTGTCGGCTGATATCACTAGGCCGGGGAAAGTCAGGACCCACACCAGAGTCTGGAGTGGCACCTCAGCCGCTGAGAGCCTGAACCAGTAGCTCCCTCCGTCTCCACAGCCCAATGCTCCAGTGAGCGCCAGGGGCAGAGAAGACAGCAGTGACTGACAGTCACCACTCTCTGCTCAGAATAGCTGTGAGAACTCAGTGATCAGCAGTCATGTGATTGCTGAGTTCTCACCTTTAGAGCCGGTGGGGGACAGATGCAGCATCCACCCAGGTAAGTATGATTGGGGGAAAAAAGTCAACCCCTACTTCTCTTTTAAGCTTGCTATCTGCCTTAGTATGTCATACCCAGGAACTCTTCATTTCACTGCACTTCACTTCACATTTCTATTTTAGGTGTCTTATAAAGGAGATTAATTTTTTTTTTTTCATTCAAGGGTTGAACAAAAAAAATTAACCTGACCCCCCCCCATTCACACATTTGATGTGGATGGGGGAATCAGTCCTGCTGTGCTATTGGTATTCTGTCGGCAGGGAGCCTTCCTGGCTGGCAGAATACAATGACCAGTGTTGCAGGCTATAGCTGACATCAGTGATCGTTCTGGAAAAAAACATTGATAGATGGACTTGTGTATAATCAGCTATACCATACATGGATCAAAATTTGGCCAGTCCCTGCTGAACCAGTTGAATTTTGATCCACTTATGGCCTGCTTCATAAAGCATCTGATGATGGAACAGAGACTAGGGCTTGGAGCGAACACTGAAGATGATAACATATCAAAGTTGGAGGATGGGGAAACATTGTACACCCCCCACTTATCCTTTTAAATATAAACACATATATATTTTTGGATATCAACACATACATATTTATTTGCATTTTTACATAATTATTTACATTTCTATACAACAGAAGTATGTTTTGCAACCACATCACCACAATAAATTATAAAAAAGTCTCAGTCTGAGTAGTGGTTACATTAAAAGATTCCCTAAATGAAGACTAGTTTCAGTTACAGAACAGAAAAAAAGTCAGGCATGGGGATGTCCCATTAGGGAGAAATGTAATCCCTCAAAATCTTCTCAACTCCATTATTCTAAGTCATACATTCTTCTGATAATAATTCAAAGTCCAGAAAAACTGCAGAATGTTGGAAAATGAAAACAAAGCCATGGCTAGCAACAGCACCCCCTTTCTCCCCTAAAAAACTACACCCCCGCCCTTATGTTGATGATTTGGGAAGTGTCATAGAGAATATGGTGGTGAGGAGGTGGTGGTCACCAAATGGTGATGAGCAAATTTTGGGATGAGTTTAAATTGGAGGTTCCCTAACCTCCAGGTTCCAAACAATATATATGAAATTAACAGAACCTCTTTCATTTTATGAAAAAGGACAGCAAATAAATAAAGTATTTGTACATTTTACGGGATGGACTTTCCCAATTTGATGCAGACTTAAAACCTTATGGAACATAGCTACAATATATTTACTTTCTCAGGGTAGCATGTTTAAAGCAGAACATCACTTTCTCAGTCAGTATTGACTATTTTTAATTCTTACGCTGCTAGCATTAGTAAATCCATAGGAAAGTATATAATATTTACTTATTTTAAACTTTTTTGTACATTTCTTCAGTTACTTTCTGGTTTCCAGGCCTAGGCAAAAGATGCCATACACCCCATGAGTCTTCAGGAGGGGAAGAGGGGATTTCTCAGCACGCCCTCCTGCCTGTATGCCTAAGCAGATGGATTCCAAGAAGTAAATTCTACATGAATCATCTACCGTTACTTAAGATGGTCACAGCCAGAAATGCTAGGGGGTATTTTTCAAAGTGATTTCTTTGCAAAATAAAGCATGGAGACAGGGATGGATGGGCGAGTTTGCTTTGGATATTAAAAATGAATTAAATAATGATTTTGGTTTGCAGTGCTCAGATGCAATATAGTTCTACTTTAATCTGATTTAATGTAATCTATGTGCACAAACAAAATTTTTTACTGTACTAAAAAGGTGCAATTTAATAGGCTTGAACTGAAAAATGAACGAATATTGCAGAAACACTAACAGAGTCACCCGATAAAGGCTGCAAGTGATTCTAGAAGGCTGCTAACAATTTTTAGGTGCTGTTATTCAGATGTATGGCAGTGCTCCCCAATTTGTACCTGCTGTAGATCTACTGAACTAGCCACTACTCATTATGTCACTGCTAATGACAGTTACTTTAGATGATTGTTAGCAGTGATTTTTGTATATCTGAAATAATTGTATTACTCTAAATAAAATTACATTGATACTGGGAATTTTCGTTTAAAATATTGCCCACAGTCACATCAAGTTATCTGTGTCATACAAATCTTGATCTTCTGGAAATGTCACAATACCAGCGGCTCAAAGGAAAAGGCTTACTACATGTCTGATCAAGCTATAATGCGTCACAAATGAGGATATATCGCAATGAATCACTACTGGCTATTACAGGCAGTGAGCTGTCAGTTAGGATATGTACAGTACATGTTAACCTGTAGCTTCACACAAGTATATGGTAATGAAATAGTCATGACTAATATTTGTTGAGGCGAAACACAACATATTGCATACATTGTGGACAAGACAGGCGTGTTGTAAGGTCAACAACATTTACTCACAATGTTGCAATGTAATAAATGTGAAATGTATTTACACTTTAGCAGCTGAATTGGGATAATGCCTACTTTACATTTATTATACATTCCCCCTATTCTTCACATAGCAGAAAAAAAAAAGATTTAAAAATTGCAGATTGCTGTTCTTTTCTGGAGACTCCAGCACTGAAATCTTTTAAAAATTAGTTGTCTTTCTGTATGAGAGAGATGTGAAGCTGTGCTTGTCATAATTAATCTTGTCTGTACTGTGCTGGCAGATCTCATTATCAGTTGTAAAATAGATTTGACCCCTGTCTATCCTAACAAAGGGTTAAAGATTAGAAGCTCATCCTTTCCTAAGGGGTCATGTACACTGCAGCTGCTAAACTGATGTTCAGGAGCTGTT